TAGAGCTGGACCGACAGACTTATCGTTACTTGTGCTCTTTCGCCATCAAAATGTTGTCTGGGAGAGGCTGGCGGCAGTAGCAATTGTTTATGCATCAATTTTGATTTGTGCAATTTTTTTTCACATTTTATTTCTCTCCACTCTTTTGCAGCTCGGCTTGGTTTGTTGCTTTAAGCTTCCGCTAATACCAGCACAAAGCCATGGCTCATGCAACGCATCATTAAGTGAAAATACTTGTATAATGTACAAATAATGCGAATGTAGAATGGTTGACAAGCGTCAGCAGCAACATTTAGTGCCGGCCTGGCAACAAGAAGGTGTTGCCAGAGTCAACGTCATCCGCATCACAAATAACAATAACGAGCTCCAAATTCTGCTAAATCGGTTGGGTTTGGGGCTGTCTGCCGCCTGCTCAACGGTCAGTTTTCAACGAAGGCTTTGTTTATTGAATCGGCTCTTCTTTGCACCCATTATTGAAAACAAATCTCTAAAACGAAAGTCGTGCAGAAGTAAATACGTTTACGGTAATCATTTAATTAATATTTAAAGCATTTGGATGCTTCTGAATCGCATTTAGTTTAAATTGTATAATTAAGTTGTTATAAAAAGCACATGGACCCACTTTGGCTGCTGTTTATATTAAAATTGTTGTTTCTGTTGTTGTTATTGCTATTGCGGAAAGTTATTTTTGGCATACAAAGGCGGCGGCAGGTGCCGTCGGCCGCATGGACGGAACTTTTAGGTGAATGACCTGCCACACTCGTAGGAGGCACGTGCCACCCACTATTCCACACTCCACGCTGGCCATCTTAAGGTTCATTCAAACTTGATATGCTCGCATACATATTTATGTAATGTATGTATGTATGTATGTGCGTCGTAAAAGATTGAAAGTCTTCTAGTTGTTTTTGAAAAACAAAAATTTAAATCAACAAACATAAATTTTATAGTATGGAAAGAGAGAGATCGGGAGCGGTTCGCTAAGAAGTACATAAGTAATACGTCTGATCAAAACACAAATTAATTATTCAAAACGGCATTACTTTTCTCTGTAGTACGATAACGAGCTTTGTAAAAGCTGAGACTGAACATTTTAAATCTCCTGTGATGGCTTATAAATTATATAGTTAATTAATTAAAAACAAACAAAATCAGTTATTGTTCTCTTCCCCAAATTTACACCCAGTACTGCATTTTCGATCAATAATTAGAGCCGTTCTGATATACTTGTATAGTATACCTTTTTGTTTGGTCACGAGCAATTGGAAGAGAAGAAACAAACAGATTCCAAATATTTTCAGTCCCTCAAGCACAAAGGTATATTATTAATTTTATGAAACATATAAGTCTACTTGTATACTATGTATAAGTCTCAAATAATCAAGAAAACACAAGTGATTTTTTAAATTGTTAATCTATACGCCAAGTTTCGTGCCAATCTGTAGAACCCAAAGAAAATATAATTTATGCGTTTTGAGAAAAGATTTTCAAGATTGGTTAAAAAAAAAACCCAAAATAGTAAGCCCCCATATATAGGTGGAGTAGTGCAATACTGACTATTGTATACCCTGAAGCCCAGGGTAAAACATAGAATTTTTTATACATGTATTATATTCCAAATTTGACCAAGTTTTAATAAGCCCTTCCAGAAAATATGTGTGGTTCGGCATGTACATGTATCTTTTGCTCTTTTTTTGAGAATGATTCCGTAGCTACCTTTGGATATACACCTAATTTTGTTTTTACACGGTAGATTGGTTCCAGAAAAAGACGTGTAAAAAAGACATTGTCCATATGTTATTTTGAATCGTGCTAAATGGAATAAAGTCGTGCAAGAATATATACAGTTTTTAATTTTCAAACGAATTTGTACTATAGGGTATAAAGGGAATAGTTACGGCCACTCTTCCGGCGATCTTTGAACACTAATCGCCAGGCCGAGCGTCTTGTGCTCGTCGTTAGCCCTCCTGCTGCGATGGTCTGTTGGATTCTTGCAGTTTTTAAAATTTTAAAGAAAATACAGCAGCAAGCTCATCACAACAAATTGTTTTTCGACAGTTTATTTATTTTTCAATTTTTATTTCAACGAACCCCACTGACGTCAAACTCGGACACACGCCACGCGGCCGTATCGTTAAGCGGGTGAAAGTTTTGGGTGCTTTGAATGATTGGCCATGGGCCCGTTGCTATATCCCGTACTGAGGAATACGTCCGTGGTCGGTTTGTCTTTGACCTTGAAACAAAATTGAAAATCAAGCAAACACACAAATTGTCTTGACTTGGCATAAATAAAAATTTTTATACAATCGGCAGAAACAACAACAGTGGCATCTGCCAAAAATACATACAGACACATTCACTTACATACATACTATACATTCGAAAATGATGGGAATTTATTTGTTTTCAATCCATTAATCGCAAATAATGGCATCGCTCGAAGGGAACAAAGCAAAAATGTAACCAAGTGCTGAATTTTAAATTGTGGACATATGGAATACATCCCTTGTATTGATTAAGAACTAACAATGATTTGCATTCCCTTTAATTTCGCAAAAGTATAGTACATATAAGGTATATACAGAATACATCACCTAGCCGATGTCCAGTACATGTCTCTACTATATTCTGTTGATTGTGTTTACCGAGCAAAGTTTTATCTTATCTACAACAATGAGATGTACAAATAGGCAAATGTCTAGCTGCTTGCTGCTGATATTCGTATTGCTCTCTTAATGGTTTGATCTCGACATTCGAAAATAACAAGAAGAAGATAACACCAACAATCAGGTATTAGTCTAGGGCCGGGTACCAGTGTCGACTTTTTCTGGAACCAATGTACCGTGTAAAAACAGAATTAGGTGTACTTAATAAACCATGTAAGCAAGAATATAATACTCTACCTATCAGAGTGCTAGATATAATCACTCACTATAATCATATAATACTCTCCCCATCAGAGGAATTACATTTACAGCAGCAGAGAGCGTAGATCAGATAATGCTGATGTAAAATAAAGACTAGACAAAAATTACGTATACGTATATCAACAACTGCTGCATAACTTGAGAGAAGAAAGGAAACGTTTTAATTGCGTTCGGAATTAATTACGTAGATATGTATATGTATGTGTTCAAAATTATACTCATCGCAACTGGATTAGTTGAATATGTGTATGTCCCCAGAACCATCTTTGATGGTAAGCAGGGAGATTGCTACTCGGGGGGTATCTGCGTTGACCATTAAATCATTTTGCTAATAACCGATTTCCGTCAAAACAAACGACAAATAGCAAGCGGCGAGTAAAAGACGCGCCGGCTAGTCCGACCAGTCGGAGAAAAACAAGAAAAGTGCGTCAGTAATGCAAATTTTGTGATTTTCTCTTCTTTCTCTAATGCTTTTGCGTCGTTTTTAGCAACTTGATGTTTTATCTGTGCTGTTGTTTTGGATATTTTCTTCTCTTGTTTATTTACTTAGTTGCTGCAGAGGGTTTTAACCTTTCGAACGACGTCGGCTCTCAACAAACAGCGACACACTTAAGGCACAATTGTTTCTCTTTTTACTTCTTGACAAATTGAATTGGCTTAAGACAAAGACCAACAAACAATGTCAAGAAGAGGCGCTACTCACTATCTGAACGATCGTACGTCTGGTGATTGTCTAGGGGGTCAGGAGAGAGGCCCCATGGTTTGCGTGCAAAAGCCGTCTGTTATCGCGGTTGTCGTAATTGTGGTTGTGGACTTGTTAGTCGTATCTCTTTCTATGCGCTCGGATACTTTCTTTTTGTGTCTGTTGGCGGTTTGTTCTTGTTTGTAGTTGGCTTACTTCTCTATATATGGTGAGTATACTGTTTGACTACTATCTTTGTTTGTTGACTGGCCTTTAATGCAGGACGCAAACAAAGTTCTTGCTACTGTAAGAAATTTCAATTCCCATATCTGTATGGGGAGAGACGTCAAAAGGTCATCTTATGGTAGATTTCGCTCTCCTTTCGTATTATATTTAGTTTAAAAATATTATAACGGTAATTTCGTAATAATCCTGACAATCAAAACTATATATATCCCATGCAAAGCTCAAAATAAATTTATTTCAAGATCTACATGTATTATTCTAGAGAAGGCACTTAAAAATGTCCTATTGCTTTCCAAAATTTTTATCAAAATACGCCTCGAAAAAAATTTAAGCTTGGCATACTTGCTGACAATTTTCTGTCAACCTTCAAATTATATTCACACCAACATACCTTTGTATTAAATACCAGAAGGTATTGCCCGTCTTAACCCTGCTCAATATAATGCTTCAAATTGTATTTATTTTGTGTGTGTGCATGACCTACCCATATATTTTCCCCTTATTAATTACCAGTAGGAAGGCATTTTAGGTATTTAAATTAACATTTTCTGTTCTTAACAAAATATTATTCAGTAGTCCGTTACATTTTGGTTCTTGCCAAAATATTTCGTTAAACGTACACACACATGACCACTATAACTAATATTTTCTCCCCCCTTTGGTGCTCGAATTTTCCAAAAGCCTTTCTTTGTGCGCACTTAAACTGTGATGGATACTATGAAAGGATACTTGAGTCCAAATTTCAGCTTCCTTGCTTTTACCGTTTTTAATCGTTTATAGATTACACAAACCCAGTTTGAAGCCAATTTAATGAAAATTGCAGATTTTTCATACAATTTAGGGAGCCCATTTTCCCCCCTCTGGCGTTCGAATTTTCCAAAAATATACCCTCTACTTCATTTTATAACCACTAGATGTAACGATGTCAACACGTAATGAATCGAAGTACAAAAACTCTATTATCCCTTGTAAAACAGTTTGATAGTTAAATATGCGATAGCTACGTTCTAATCGCAAGGTCTATTAAAATTATCAGCCCATTTCGTCTATCTTATCGATGAGGTTGTTAACCACATCGGCACTGCAAGTTATTTTGTGTCGCGACCGCGTTCAGGTTCGTGAGATCGGCGGTCAGTATACACCAATATGCCAGACATAAGACCTCTACCGGAGGACCTACAAAAGATTGCAATCGAGCAACTAAACGAGGTGCCGCAGCGTTTGGATGCCGACCTCTTGGCGTTACGCACATGGATCGAACAGCAGCCACATTTGCGGGCCCGAACCGACGACCAATTTCTGGTTGGGTTCTTGCGGGGCTGCAAATACAGTCTGGAGAAGGCTAAGTCGAAGCTCGATAAGTTTTATACGCTGCGCACCAAATATCCAGATTTCTATATGATTCGGGACGTAGACAGCGAGCGAATGCAGGAGTTGGTGCGGATGGGGTGAGTTCATATAGGCTGACAGGAATAGCCCCTCTACCGAAATGGTAAGGAATTTGGTAGCATTTGTGTAAACTTTAAAACCACATTCTCCGGTAGCAATATTCGTATATCTGTCGTATGAGCGTAATTTTTATAGACAATTTTTTTTTCAAGTACGGGATCATTTTTATGTTTTTATTCGTTTTTGAACACTTTCTAAACAATATTTGTGCCCGCAATTGTGAAATAATAATTTGATAATTTAGTAAGTAAGAGACAAGTTGATAAACCATGTTCGATCGTCTAACGAACTGCGTACAAAGCGAGAGCAAGATATATACGACTATAGATGAAGAGAGAGAGAAAGAGAGAGAGAGAGTTAAGTGGTTTCCATTATGATAAAAAGCGTAGTTGAATTCCTCTCCAGCGAAATATTCGCGTTTATTTACTTTACGGAATGAAGTGCTTTATTGCCGCAACGGCACTAAATCCATCCATCCAAACTAATTGATTATTGCAGAGTGGGCGTGCCATTGCCCATACCGCTTCATGAAAATGGACCCCGGTTGATTTATGTACGACCGGGTCTTTATCCGGCGGACAGGTATACATTCGACGATGTCATGGCTGTGGCCAACACTATGAATAATCTGACGCTTCTTTTGGACGACTATGCATTGGTCAATGGACTTATTACGCTGCTGGATTTCACCGACTATAGCGGCGCCCATTTGCTTCAAATGACGCCCACCGTCATGAAGAAGATGACCATATTTGCCGAGGAGGCGATGCCCGTTCGGGACAAAGGCACCCACATGATTCACACAAATGCTGCCTTCGAAGCGGTCTTCAATGTAATGCGACCGCTGATGCCCGCCAAAAAGCAGGAGCGCGTTAGTACCCGTACTATAGGCAACTAATTACACCGTATTTACATTACAATTTGTTCGATTATCAGCTTTCCGTACACGGCAGTAATCTAGAGGCCCTTTACGCCTACATACCGCAAAAGTATTTGCCCAAACACTTGGGTGGAGAACAGGGTTGTATTGACACCTTGAAGGAGGGACAATGGAACACGTTTCAAAAGTATCGCGACTATTTGCGGGACGAGTTGAAATATGGAGTCGATGAAAAACTACGTCCCGGGGGGCAACAGATAGACTACGATCACTTATTTGGAGTCGATGGTTCATTTCGTAAACTAAACGTTGATTAGATTCTAAAATTGTATGTACATTGTTTGTTCTAGACTGGATTAAATTTGATCAGCTGAATTGTATGAATACGCATGATTAGGATTAATGGAAATATTAAATAACACATTCTAAAAGTGGCAATTATTACAATTATAATTATTATTATTAGTATGACAATTACTCGTTCATTGATGATGAAGCATAAGCAAAAGAAAAGGGCAAATTGGAATTTTTGTGGAAAAGTCTTTATTTATTCATCAATATAAATTTTACCATCTTTTAAATAATTCGGTATTTCTAATTCCTCTGAGATATAATGTGCTTGTGCCAGCGCTTCCTCCAATCCTCGAAGCGCTTCTGAAATGCGCTTTTCGGTATGGCTTCCGATTATAATAATGATGAATACAAGTATATATGTAAATGCTTTTCAAAGGAATTCAAAATTCACCTTTTCTTTTGAACAATCACATTCACTTTCTCTTGATAGCCCATTCCTTGGGAAAGAGTAGAACCGAAACAATACGTTGGGAAGAATGGAACAGTCACCAGTGGCTTTAATTTGCCATTTATACATCATAAAGTTTTGGGCTTGCTTGGTGTGGTGACTGAAGAGCGCTAAAGTATCTGTGAAATGTATCTGGGGGAAATGCAGAAGTGGAAATTGATAGCACTTTTTAATTTTTGTATACAACAATGCCAATATAGCTTAAGGTATTTAAGACTGCCGAGATTTTGAACGACTTCGAACGACAAAAATGTATAAAGAAAGAAATGAATTTAAGGAACTTGCAGCGAATGAGAGGATAGCAATTATTATTGACAGAATATATCCAATTTTGAATAGCTTCATACTATCCTAAAAAAATTGAACTTAAAATTCAAATATTAATAAAGGGAATATTAATTAGTATCCTAACCAGAGGGGCTGGTTTTTAGTTTTACTGGTCACATCTCTCTTTACAAGGTGTGTTCCAAAGTAAACAGGACTTAAAAAAAAACAGAACAAATGGTTTTTTCGGCAAAATCAATTTATTTTATTCAAAATAGTCTCCTTCTGCTTCAATACAGCTTTTTGCACGATCCAAAAGCATGTCGAACGAGTGTTTTAGCTCGTTGGCCGGTATGGCCGCCAATATGCCGGTGCAAGCCTTTTGAATGGCGTCTACGTCTGCATAACGCTTTCATTTCCTGGGCAAATACATTTTTCCGAAAAGGTAGAAGTCGCACGGTTAAAATGTGATTGGTCAAATAATCGGTCGTCAGTCAATTTGTGCGGAACAAACCGTGCACACACCTTTCGTAAGCCCAAATGTTCGATGTCAAAATGTTTTAGAGATGTTTAATTCCATTTCCATCAATTTCAATGATGATTTCGGCTCTTTTTTGATGAATTCACGCACGTCCATCGAAAGATGGAATTTTCGGTGATCACGAATTTTGATTGGACCACATGTTGATCGTCATTTATGTCCTCACGACCACTTTGAAATCGTTAAAACCACTCGTGCACTCTGCTACGGGATAGGCAATCATCTCCATAAACTTGATCCATCAATTGAAACGTTTCGGTAAAAGTTTTACCAATTTTAAAACAAAATTTAATGTTGGCTCTTTGTTCGAAGCTCATTTTCTCACCGATAACACAAACCAGGGGGCGCTAGATTCAAAAAGTCCTGATTACTTTGGAAAGTACCTTGTATATATTTTTTACTTTCAAAAACTGATTGGAAGTCCTACCAGATAGCCGGATCACCCGACTTTAGCTTCTTCACTTGTTTATTGTCTTAGAAAGGAATTCACACTTTCCATACTATCAACCAAAGAGTATGCCTTGAATTCATTGTAAATAAATAAATCCACCGCATGACGTCTATAGATGAGTATTAGTACATAGATACATACATAAGTAACAAAGGCTTTTAAAATGTGCGTTATCGATAATTTCTGCTGTTGTATGCAACTCCGTACAGGATGTCTTGTTGCTGGCTTTTTGTACACGATCCTCGGGATCTTATGTGCGGTGTGGTCCGTAACGCAATGTTTATATGTCCTGCATATAGGAATATCTGGACTTATTTCTTCTATATTGTATGTAGCATGTGGACTTACTTTGTTATTTGGTGTATATAAGGTAGGTACACATTACAACAAGAAATGCATTTGTAAGCTAGTTTTTGAATTTTCTTAGAACAGCCCCACTGCAGATACTTATATTATTATACTCTGTACATAAAATGTACAAGAGATTATTAGGTTTGCGGGAGCTGAAAATGTAACAGGCAGAAGGAGGCGTGGCAGACCCCACAAAGTGTATATATTCTTGGTCAGCATGACGAGACGAGTCGATCTAGCCCTGTGTGTCCGTCTGTCTGTCTGTCCGTCCGTCTGTTCGTATGAACACCTGGATTTCAGAGACTATAATAGATGGAGACAACAAATTTTGCACAAAGATGCCTTATGTGTGTACGCTGTGCAAGTTTGTTCCATTTTTTGATTTTCCCCCACTTCCCCCTATGGGGGATGCCAAATTTCATAATGATAGGCCGATTTAACAGGAAATTATAGCCATATATGCCCAAGCAGTGCCTGCAGCTGTTGTTGTTTCTACAGGCACACAGACACACACAAACACAAACACATATTCTATCAATAATAGTTGCTGTCCTCACATTCGTTACAAGTAAGTTCCTTAAATAAGATTTTGCAACATACTTAATATGCTTTCGAAATTCATTTCTTTCTTTATACATTTTTGACTGTCGAAGTCGTTAAAACCTCGGCAGTCTTAAATACCTAATCTATATTGGCATTGTTGTATCGTATATAATATATATTTTTAACCATATTTACAGTTTGGCCAATTTACTTGGCGGTTGTTACGTATTCATACTACAAAACGCACTTTAACTGAATACAATTTCTTGATACGTCCTTTCTGGTTAATCAAAATTCCAAACAAGAAATGCAATACTTTCGATTTAGATAATGTTTCGCAATAAAATTAATCTCGCTTATGTCTAATTGTTTTTCCATTAAATAATGCTAAAATGTTCCTATTGTCTATGAGTAAGTAGAAATTTATTTTATACATACATTTAAATAGATCATTTGCAGTGAACGAAAATAGACTAATCTCAAATGACCTTTCAAATTACAATACTCCATAAATCGAACCAAACTGTTTTTAAGTAAAACTGCATATTTGTGGCAATGCTGATCAATTCCAGAGATTGCGTTGAAATGCATAAATACACACGACTAAGTATATAAAATTTATATAAGAACTAGCAGGTCTTGACCGTCTTTGCTGGGCTAAATAAAATGTGCTTATAATCATAAGTTTATTTACTATATGATATTGTTCTTTCGACGCTCTCTAAAGTTTTTTTTAAAGAGTTAATTTTCCAAATAGCAAATATAGTACAATAAGTACTATGTATGGTTATACGTATATACATACATATGTACATATCTTCGTTACGCACCGGGCGGACTGCCAGTCCTGACTTAACTGTGTGCTTCCTCAGCACGTTGTACGCACGGTCGAGTTATCCCCAAAAAGTCAGACGCGGGACATTTAATTTTGATTTATAGATCGGGACGTCCCGCCAAAATTGGAGCGTTCGGTACCGCTGATATGTACATACATTTAAATTTTTCATGCAGTCGTTATCCACCTATATACATACATACATGCATATATAAATAAGTATGTATTAAATTTTTTAATTCAACACTAATTTGTGTCTTCAATACCAAATATGATTGTTGTGAATGTAAAAGGTGTGTTTCTGCTTTTGTAAATCGCATGAATACACTCACAAAATAGGCTTAACGGTAAATGACTCTTAAATTTGTTCAGAATACATTTGTAGCGTTGGTAGCTAACATTAAAGCGGTAAGTCGCTGTAAATATGCGATCAGCTGAGATGCTAGAGATGGGCATGTGTCGGATGCTCTATGTGCTGGAGCATCAAAACTATCGATAGTTGAATCCGTGGATACAATCAATAATTTCATCGAAGTTTGAATGCAATTAACAGAAAATTTAAATAATAACATCTTATAATTTATTGAGATCAATTAGAACAAATCATATACAAACATACATATGTACATCTGCTCGCAACGCGAAGCAAAATATGCGTAGGTCCGCTTTCGGTTTCTGCTTCACTATCGCTTACGCAGTCGTTGCCTAGCGACGGTAACTATAAACTTTTGACATTTTGCCTTTGAAATTAACAGGCGTAAATGATCAAAACGAAAGAAGAAGCGCGAGCCAATGACTTGCAGTTGTTGTTGTTTTTCGTTTTAAAAATTTGGTTTAAAACCATAGAACATTATTTATTACAATCAAACAACAGTGCTCGATTGTCCAATGTATACATACATATACATACATATGTGTGTACATATGCATGCATGTTGTTGTTGCTGCATAAAGTTACTAATGAAAACCGTAATGCCAAATGTACTAAACAAAGAAAAAATTACTTTTAAAAATGTTAAATAATTTTTAATTAATTAACATTTATTGCTCTGTCAGTGCAAGACGAATAAACATACATACATTTATATGGAGATGTGTACATGTACATAGATATGTACATATGCATGTGTGTACATTCACACATTAGTGTCTCACACTTTGCTTTGGCTCTTTCAATCGTTTGCACGCAACTACACGAACAGCTGCTTGTATGTGTGTGTGTGTGTGTGTATGTATACTTAGTTTTCCCCAACTGTTTGATATTTTGTATTGTTTGTTCTGCCTGCATTTGCAGAATGCATATTTTGAAAATCCTTGAACGCAAAGTTATAGATTTAGTTACGTAGATTACAGTCCCCAAATTTGAAATCGATCGGAAAAAATTTATAACACAAACTTTTCATTTGAAATAGTGAATAAATATTAAAACCCTAATAATTCAAGCTCCACCAAAAATTTCGAAAAATCCGAGTATGCAGTTTTGTTTGGATTCTTTTATAGATTTTAAAAATCAAATTTAAAGTTGATCGGTGCAGAAATGCAGAATTTTCAAACAAACTTTGGAGCTCGTTTTAATTTTGAATTTTCCAAAATCCCTTCTTAGTGGGGACCTTCACTATTATAGGATCCTTGAGCCCAAATTTCAGCTTCATAGCTCTTGCCGTTTGGGCTGTAGGCTGTTGACGCGGTAACCAAGTAAACAGTTTTTCTTGGAATTTTTCTGAGAGTAAACAAACTAAGTTTAAAGTTAAACAGATGAAAATAGTAGATTTTTCATACAAACTTTGGAGCTCGAATTTTGCAAAGTCCCTTCTTAGTGGGCACCTACACTATGAAAGGATACTTAAGTCCTAGCTTCCTAGCTTTTACCGTTTGGGCTGTACGTTGATCATCAATCAGTCAGTCAGGACAAACTGTTTTATATATATAGAGATTTAATGACGGTTCCACAAATTTTCTAAGATGATCGAATTTTGATGTTTCCTATGCTGAAATATATATGTACGAGTATGTAAGGTAAATTCTCTGTGAACATCACTCAGAGCAACACTCAACTCTCAATATGGTAGGAACACTAAAAGTGTTTAAGAACCTTCTAATAATACAACAACAAAAATTTAAAATTGCTATCAATTTCCACTTCTGCATTTTCCCCAGATACATTTCACAGATACTTTAACGCTCTTCATTGACCACACCAAGCAATCCCAAATTTTTATGACGTGTAAATGGCAAATTAAAACCGAGTGGTGACCTTTCCATTCGGCCCAACTGCGTATTATTTCGGTTCTACATTTTCCCAAGGAATGGGCCATCAAGAACGGAAACAGGCCGTAAAAGCGAAGAAGCAACTCGAGCTCGTGTGCGTTTCGCACTATCTGTCGTTGATTTCAGTTTTGTGTCGTTTACGACTTCGATTGGCGTGATGAGAGCCACAGAAGTCTAACCCAAAGGTCCTCGGTGGGTGGGCAGCTAGGTTGGCGGCCATTAGAACTGCACGCGTTACATTTTTATTGTTTGTGCAAAACGGTTTAGGTATCCAGTTCAAATCGATGCCCACCTTGGCTCGCAATCTGGTCGAGTTGTTCACTGCTCCTGCCAATATACCCATCGCCAAATATAACCAAGTGTATTGAACTGTTAACAATTTCGACGTTTATTACATTTTGAATGTGCCTTTCCTCCTGTGCCTGTACATTTTGCCGATATTATGTTTACTGAATATGCCTATATATACAACTTTGTACCGGATAATACTTAGATATCAAGTATACATTGTTAAATCGAGGCTGTATTTCCTTGCATACGATAGATCTGCTTGTGGCGCTTCACAGTTACCAAGTCGTTCGCGAAACTCCAATCTATGTCGAAGTCCAAATGTAGTTGACTGCGCACGATTTTGAAATTGCCTTTGAGAACATCGTCAACACGCATCGGGAGATGCGCATCAAGTGGAAAGAGGGACTGCTTCCACTGAGTGCTCGGCCCACTGGGACTAGTTGAGACGGCCGGCATGTTTTTGTCGCCAGGAAACTCAAAGTCGAAAAATACCACAAAGCTGCTGGCAAAGGCTTGACGCACCGCCCGCAAACGGAAGGGCACCTCGAAACTTAGATCCTCGTGCTTTACTATACGCATGTCAAGGCTGCGCAAAAGGTGGCGCTTGGTAAGGATCTTAGTATTGTCAACATCGGTCACCTCTGGAAGGTGGGTCTTGACACGGCCAATTCGAGACAAATTCAAGCCACCGAAGTGGGCCCATCTCTGACCCACGTCAGAGGGTCGACCATCCTGCTCTGTTGCCACCACATATAGCTTGGCACTTTGTGGAAATATACTTCCGCCTGGCCGCAGCCATTTATTCCGCGCATAGATGACGTCCTCAATGACCGAGTTGTACATGAGGCAGGCGCTGTATGGACAAATAAAAATGAAATGCCGACAGCCCATTCATCGGCGGTATTTTCTTACCCCATCCACTTGGAAAGGATGATGTCAACGCACTTTAGACCCCCCGGAAGCTTAAGGAGCTCGATCTTAGCCTGAAATACCTGGATTACGTTATCAAGCCGATTCTGGACCACCAGCTGGCGAGCGACTTGGGCAATATCGCTTGGCTCAACGGCAATCACTCGCTTTGCACCTTGCCGGGCAGCCCACATTGAAAGTATTCCGCTACCGCAGCCCACTTCCAGGACGACTGAGCCCTTGAAAAGCTGTGCATTGTGCTCCATGGCATCTTTAAATGCCAGCATTGTCGCTCTGTCGCGCACGTAAACCTCCTGCGTCTTTAAAAATGTAGCGTACGTCTCCGGCGATATTTCACAGTCGGATTTACCAATGAGCCCACCGAGGAGTCTGAGGGTTTGGTTCGAGTTTTGCAAGCAAATGCTGTTTAACATGGCTTCTCTATTTAATACAATTTGTATGTGTAGTACATACATGTATGTATGTACATACATACATATGTATGTACGTAAGTGTTTTTTTTACAAAGTGCTCCTCGTAAGTGTGCAAATATGCATCGACCCATCGATGTATCGATTTACACAAAAGCAGCTGTTCTCGATTTTCTAATTATTCGATGCTTCGATATATGTATATACATATACCAATGGATTTTTGTTAAATCTACCCTTCAGTTGCTCCAACACAGTTAAAAAAAATAAATCCGATTAACTTTTAACTGGGTTTATTTACTCTTAGAAAGAATACAGGAAAAAATGCGTAGTATGTTTTGTAACTTTTCATTAAAGCGTTAAAGAAATAATTATGATAAGGGAGGTATATATGTACATATGTATGTACAAATGCATATGTGCATATGTTCACCGAATATCTTTGCTAAATTATACAGCTTGGCCATCCATCTATATATATAAAACTACAATTTATAACACACCCTTCTTTTTTGCTATGAGTTACTAAGGAGTGAAATTTATTTTGGATATTATTATTTTAATGATTTTTTGTTCGTTTTTAGATTTTTTTTGTTATTCTTAATTAGGTCAGAGGTTCTCTGTAAAAGATATTTGATGTTTTATTTTGTGGTAGCAAACTAAATTGATTTTCAGAAGCTACGACCCGTGATAGGTCAACATACCGTAAAACATTGCTTTCGTATGTCGATCCCTACTTGGGACTACCGGAAATTGTAGAGCGCAAGGATTTCAGGAAGTCCAAGAGCTAGAATAACCAAACTTGGTATCGAGGTTCCCCTAAGTCCTAGGCAGGTCAAGTTTATTTTTTTATTCTGATACACCCCCCACTCCCCCGCAAATCGTGTTTTTTATAACTTCCGTAATTCTTGGAATTTTGTTAGTGCTGATGTGCCCATATGACATATTTCATCACGATGGGTCAATTTTGAAGAAAGTTATAGCCATAAATAAAACGCTGCCCATGCGCTGCCCGCAGCTGTTGTTGTTGTTGCTGCTTTGCTTTCAACTTTGTGCTGCATACGTACACGCATATAAACACGCAGAGACACGATTCTAATTTAATTTAATTAAATAATTCAATTCATATAACATATATGTATTGAATAATTTGTATTTAATTTAATTAAATAATTTAATTCATATAACAAGTAAAAAAGCAACTTTGAAATACTCTGTACATATGTGTAGAATAATTATGCGTGTATGTGACCTGCCTAGGGCTCTGGGGAACCTGGATACCAAGTTTGGTCAATCTAGCTCTTGTACCTTCTGAGATCCTTGCGTTCATATCGACTCGTCGTGTCACCCTGTATGTTACATACATTCGCACAAAACTAGTATAGCCTTTTGCTCTTTGGGTACAAGCTATAATAAATATCCCGCGCGGGGCAGACTCAGTCCCGCTTTTTGGGGATAACTCGACCGTGAGTCAGCGTGCTGAGGGGCGCACAGAAAAGTGAGAACTGGCAGCCCGCCCGGCGCGTAATGAAGTTATGTATATACATATGAATGTATGGATGTTTGCATCTATGTCCGTATAAATATACATAGTATTTATTTGAACTCTTTAGAAACTTTAGGGAGTGTCGGAAGAGAAATATCATATACTTACAAGTATAATTGTAAGCACATTTTACTTAGACCAACAAAGACGGGCAAGGCTTGCTAGCGCCTACAGTTACTCATTTTGTGTACATTAACTATATATCAAAATACAAAAATATATCGTTGCCAATTTAATTACCAAAGTATGTAAGCTGTTACGTGTCTACAAGCTCGAAAACACATATACAAGTATATATAAATATTTAAGAATATCTAAGAAAGAATAAGTAAGGACTATAAAAGCCTTTGCACCTTACTTGAACATAAACGAAAAATCTGAAACGTGTTTCCAGCATCAAGATGTGCACCCTCAATAAAATTTGTTGTTGTTGCAATCTACCAATTGGAGCAGTGATCATTGCAATCCTGGATTGGATTTTAACGGGCTTCCAATGTATATTGGCTTGGTGTAAGTAAACATACTTCACTCTGGTGCAAAGGTGAATCAAAGTGTGCTTCGCATTGAATGATTCACATACATATATGCGTCTTGTAAAAGACATAGTCGCGCCATTGACAGTACACATTGCGACAAATTAAGACATATTCGATCATTCTGGCTGATTGTTCTGTAAAGAGTATGTTGGTTTGGTCCCATTTGTGAAACCGCTAATAATATTTAAGCCTGCATATTACCAACCAACTAAAGAATTCATATTAATACATATCTATATCCACAGCTTTATTACATGCCCAATTGATATATACCTATATAATCGGCTTTTTAATCTTTCCCCATTTCATATCGTGTCCACTTGTAATAATATCATATTTCTATGTATGTACCAATATGAAAGATATCAGTTTTCAAAATAATGAATTCGTTTAAATACATTACAGCGAAAGAAGATACTACCCATGATTTATTTAATTACTGGAATATTGCGCATTATTTCATTAATAGGTTACATAATTATGCTTTTCATTATTTTAGATTATCGCCTAGAGATTATCAGTACAACATTTCAATTAATACAGATTGGTAAATATTTGTGTGTATGAAATACAGAAAATCAAATTAACATGTCGACATACTATGACAGCTCTAGGTATTTACTACTGGATATGCATTTACTCCTGGTACAAAGCTCTAGATAGCTCGGAAGAAACTTGATTTCCCATTGAGAAGATAATGTGCAGTTCAGCAAATAACAATAAATATTAGTACTCTAAATCATGCAGAATCTCAAGAAACTTGATCAAAATTGTCATATGTATGTATGTACATATATCAAAAATAAAATTTGTATTGTGTTGATACCAAATTCAAATATTGATTAAATAATGCGCGACGCATTTAAAAAATAATTTATGCATATGATCAATGAAAAAACTTCAACAACAGACCCCATGCCAAACTAAGTACTGAATATTTTTTATGATTTTTGAAATATATGAAAATATTCTCAATCTTTAGGTTTAGCTAATTTTATATAATGGATTTTCAGGAACCCGTTTAAAAGCTGTAAAGCATTCATGTTCAAGTAACGGTAAAACGAACCGGCAATTAACATGGGTGAAAGCTATATCTATTGTTTAAATTTTTAGGGAATTTAACATTTTTTCCAATAATCGTTCATTTTAAGCGCTCTGCTTCGAACAGTAGTCTTTTATCTGCGGTTCTCATACAAAGCACCAAAAAGCACCATAGCTAATATTTATATATACTTATTTCTCGGTTAAGGTAAAATAAAAGCGGACATTCGCACTTCTCATGCAAAGGATATACTCAAAGCCATAACCGAAGGGGGAGTTGGGAAAGATGTGACGGAAAGCTTAAAAAGCACTGCTACTATATGTAGCGCAGTACGCCAACCGGATATGCTAGTATATAAATAAGACTAGCAGGTGTTGCCCGTCTTTACTGGCTAAGTATTTGTGCTTACAATTATACGTTTATTTACTATATGATATTTCTCTTCCGTACTTTGGTACGATTCGAGAGCTAGGACATAAAGTTCTATAAATACTATGTATGGTTAAATGTGCATACATATGTATGTATATTTATTTATATAGTATGATAGGGATAAATCAAGACAAGTAATTTCGGGAATTAAAAGCTGTACAATTTGGCAAAGGTAATTGGTCAACTTATGCTACTGCACAACATTTAAATGAGCATACACACATATGTACATATATCATAATTATTTATTCTACTCTTTAATTAAAAGTTACAAAAATACAACGCAGTTTACACTGTATTCTTTCTTAGAGTAAATATGCACTTTTATTTTTATTATTTTGTTGATTTTAGAACCAAGTTTTAAGTCAATCGGTTGAAAAATATGGATTTTTCAAACAACCTTTGGAGCTTTTTTACCCCGCTTTGGAGCTTAGATTTTAAAAAATCCTTTCTTTCTGTGCGATGATCACCAATCCGTCAGTCAGTCAGGGCAAACTGTTTTATATATATAGATATAGAAATTGTCATACAGCTTAATTATCTATTACTAATGTTAAGGATAAAGCACGTATGCACAGGGTCCAAAAGGGGCCATAAAAATACTTATAAACAAAAAATTTTGTCTGGCACTGCCAAAGCGCCGCATGACATACTAACGCCGTCACAATCCAATCCAGGATTGCAATGATCAGTGCTCCAATTGGTAGTTGACAACAACAACAACAAATTTTTATTGAGGGTGCACATCTTGATGCTGCAAACACGTTTTAGATTTTGTGCTTCTCTACGAGTAAAGTATAAAAGTTTGTACCCAAAGGGTAATGGGTATACATACTAGCTTAGTGCAAATGTATGATTGTATGTAACACACAGCTAGAGGCGTGGCAGACCCCACAAAGTATATTTATTCTTGATCAGTACGACACGACAAGTCGATATAGCCATATCCGCCCGTCTGTCTGATCGTCTTTTTGCCTGTATGTGCGCAGAGATCTCAGCAAGTAGAAGAGATAAAATAACCAAACTTGGGATCCGGGTTCCCCTAAGCCCTAGACAGTTCAAGTCTCAAATGTTGAACCCTCTCGACTCTAGCACTTCTGCCTTGCTTTAATTTCTTGATGGACCTCTCACTCCCCGATATTGGGGATTCTCCGAAACAGCCTAAAACTATAAAAGGTAGAAACACCAAAGCATCCAAGATGCGCTATATGAGTATGCAGGACAAGTTTATTTCCAAAAATTCCTCCTTCCATCCATTCCCCCGCTATTATCTTGGAGAAGCTGCAGGCAGAAAATGGGCAGAGATTACACTTATGGCTATAATTATATTGCCTAATCATAAATAATCTGTACATAGGTACAGAGTATTTCAAAGCCGCTTAGCTTTTCCACTTGTTTATAAGTTTATTTTTTAGGTCCTCCGTTGTATTGTGTTTGCATATCGACAGCTTTGTTGGTAGATGAATAAATGAACAAATCAGTTATATAAGATCAAATACAGATTATACTTGTAAAATCTACATTTTGAGTAAAATAGTGAATCCAATTGAGTTATGCATTACCAATCTGGTTGGACACGACTTCAATACGATTTTTCGTTATGTGATTTTAAGCTGTATATTACTTTAAGTCTTTTTGTTTAATTTTATTTATGCAATTATGCCTAAAACAATACTTTTTTCAATAATATTGCTTGTCATATTTACAACGGACTCTGGTTGTCTGGAATACGAGACCGATGGAAATCAATCATGGAAAGTTCGTCCGTCATTTTGGGGTAAACTTATACTGCATCCCTTTACTTTTTTTAATCACGTATTTAAAATTATAGACGAAGACGCTTCGGAACATGCTGAAACGGCATTGAAAGAATGCGCTTATATGATTGGCAAAGGCAAGGTGCGGATTCCAATCTTTAGCCAAATCATAGGGATTTTTGATTCCTTCTCTATGCTGAAGGAGCACTGTATGCCATTCAAACCAACGTGCTCTACTCAAGTGATAGCAACAGTTATATCATTTTTTTTGAACCTATTATTATTACCTCTTTCGGTTCCATATGAAATTGGCTTTGCAGTTTTTAAGTGTCTGTGGCCAATGATAAAATTAATCATTTGGGTAGATTTCAAAGCTTTGTTTGAATCGGTGGTAGATTCACTGGGTTGTTATGAATTATTACAATAAACGGTTAAAGATAATTGAAACAAGTAAAAAAGCTAAAGTCGGGTGTCCCGACTTTGAAATACTCTGTACATATGTTTACAATAATTATAGAAAATAAAAAAAATTAAGAAAATAAAAAAAAAATTTGATCGATTTTACCTCTCTCGGTATTCGAACTCACGTAAAGGGTTTATAATTGCACATTTACATAGCAATTGCGTCTGTGTGAGTGTATGTATGCCTATGCGCATCTATTTGTGTCTGTGTAAGCATTTTCGCAGTCAACCAAACAGCAACATCAACAGCCGCGGGCAGCGCTTGAGCAGCGATGCAGCAGCAAATATATTTATGGCTATAACTTCTTGTTAAATCGGTCTATCATAACGAAACTTGGCATACGGGCACATAATAACTAACTAAATAACTAAATTTTAGTTCAAAATTCCAAGAATTACGGGAGTTAGAGAAAATCGCATTTGCATGGGAGAGGGGGGAGGGAGGGAAATTCCAAAATATACCTTTTCTGCGTATTCACATAAGGCATCTGGGACTAAAATTTGGTGTTCCTAGGTCTTATAGTCTCCGAGATATAGGCGATTATACGAATGGAAAGTCGGGAAAACCCCCATAGGGGGGAAGTGGGGGGGGGGGGGGGGGGGAAATCAAAAAAAAAAAAACAAGCCCGTATAGAATACACACATAACGCATCTTTGTGCAAAATTTGGTGTCTCTATCTCTTATAGTCTCTGAGATCCAGGTGTTCATACGGACGGACAGACAGACAGACAGGGCTAGATCGACTCGTCTCGTCATGCTGATCAAGAATATATATACTTTGTGGGGTCTGCCACGTCTCCTTCTGCCTGTTACATTTTTCAGCTCCCGCAAACCTAATATACTTCTGTACATTTCATGTACAGAGTATAAAAACAATTGAAAGGAGCTTGTTTTCTGAGCTTATCTAAATTATACAAGTATGCATTTTATTTTGCTTCTCAAATATTTCTTGGTGCCATGGTGCATTCATCCCAAATGATAATATTACAATTTTTTTCAACACTTTAGCCATCGCCGAATATTGCCGCTATGCTAGAAAACCCGACCGAATTAAATACGAAATCATCGAAATTAAGAACTTTTTGCCAGTTTCACTAAGGTCATCAAGGAATAATAGATGGGAGGGTCGGTAGAGCTATCTACTCTCTAGGCCTGGAGGTAAAGCTGTCGGTTCAAATGCTGCTTAGCGATATCAATATTGTTTTAAGTTATTATCTGTACGAGTATACTTACGTGTATCTCTTTGTACGATTATATAAATGAGATTGTTTTTTGGGGCCTAAAATATTGAGGTCCTTCCTCCCATGGAAAAATTTCAACAAAATCAACAACGCACAGCCGAAACGGTAAGATGTATAAGATAAGAAACTGTTACACGCACCTTTTGTAATTGAGAGTGGACGCAAGTCTTTTGTCACAAATATCGGCTGTTTTCGGGAAAGATTTTTTAGCACATTATTCGGGACTAACTTTTTAGAAAATGCGTTCAGGGTAGATTGTGTAGGTGAAATGGGCCTTGCTCATATGTGTCGCAGAAGTGCGCCCGTTCCAGTCTTGTCTACAAATGTGTACAGCGTGTACCCTAATCATAAATTTGTATTCCCTGTACCCGTAGGGTAAAAAGGGTATATTAGGTTTGTGCAAAGTATGTAACAGGCAGAAGGAAGCATCTCCGACCCCATAAAGTATATATATTCTGAATCAGCATGACGAGAGAAATCGATCTAGACATGTCCGTCCGTCTGTCCGTCTGAATGAACGCAAGGATCTCAGAAACTATAAAAGCTGGAATAATCACAGTTGGCATCCAGATTCTCCTAGGTCCGAGAAAGGACGAATTTATTTTATTTTTTTTAATTTTCCCCCCCTTCCCCCGCTGCAGAATTTCGTCAATAGCGTCCACATTTCAAATGCTACCTAAACCAAACTTTGCACACATAATTTATATATAATTGTCTACTGTTGTTCAAATGTTTAACTCAGTGACGGAAGTTTACCTGGGTACAGGGTATTACACTGTTGGGCTTGCTCGACTCTCTCTTGTTTGAAAATGTGTTAAGTCAAAACCGTGTAAAAACAGAATTATGTGTACAAAATTCCAATAACAAAGGCTTCCATAATAAAACGAATCAACATGGCGAGTCGAATTGATAGAGCCCTATCCGTTTGTCCGTCTTCCTGGATTTCGGAGTCGGTTGAGCTCACTTTCACTAAACTTTGTATGTAGACCTCTCCCCCGCTACAGAAATTCGTCAATTCTGCCCATATTTCAAAAGCTACATAAGCCCAACCAAAAAGATATTACCTACTTTTATTTCAAATTTCATCAATTTCAATCAATAGTTGTTTCAATTTCGTTAAATTCGACTTAAGTAAGCAGCAGCATATTTAGCAAAAGAATTTCTAGTTGAAAACTTTATGGGTTGTTGACTAACTTCATCCGTGACTTGAAAATTCCAATTGATTTGATTTACTACCATAATATAAAGATGTTGAGTGTTACGAGTATTCCAAAACAAATAGGCTTACATAAGTAACTCTCTTGGAACTATTCCAAACAAGAGTCTCTTCAGGTTGTTAAGATATCATGAAACACTTAGAAGTCCCTATCATAGCTGCAATTTCCATGATCAGTGTGAGCATTTATATTTAATACTGAAATAGTTGGCATTAATTAAAAGCGCCTCCCCATTTCCAGGTGGCGAAAGGTGAACCGACAGACGGCGATGCTAAAGTAATTGCTATCATCAATTCGGCAGCGCGTTCGGAACAGAATTTAGCATGCGTTTTTGAATGGATGGTTCATATAAATTATGCCTCTCTGAACTTCCTAATGAGCGTGCTGGAATGCAACGGAAACTTTGCTCCAGACACAGCCGAAGTTGTCGTCTTAATTAAAGAGGTTATCGATATGATCACAGTGGTTATAGAAGACTGTACCGAAACCAATGAGAAATCGGGATCGCAGAGTAAATGTAAAAATATAATATTAAAGAACAACAACGGCCTGGTTCGAGCCCTATTTAAGGTTAAGAGACTGGTTTTTCGAACAAAAAACAAAATGGAGTGCGACCAATCCGCTGTTGTTGAATTTGCGCCTCTAATTACCGAAGTGCTTGACTCAATTCAGAATTGCTTGTAGGCAAATATTTAATTAAATTAAATGGCCATATTTATCCGCATTAAAATAAAAGCATTCGCATGTGACGGGCACATCGTCAAATTGACTTTCAACTGTTCTCGTTTTCGGTATTATTTAATTAATTTATAATTACACTTACACTTAACTGGACAAAAAAAGAATGCTACCACCCCACGAAAAAAAAAATTTATTAAAAAAATTTAATTAATTTAAATAAAATAAATATAATATAGTCCACACATACATTTACTTTTACATCAGAATCGTGCACAGAATCGGGTACAGGGTATAACAAGTTTTTATAAGGCTACATTGTTATACTCTGTACATGAAATGTACAAGAGTATATTCGGTTTGCGGGTGGTGAGGCAGACCCCACAAAGTACATATGTATATATATTCTTGATCAGTCGATCTAGCCCTGTCTGTCCGTATCAACACCTGGATCTTAGAGACTATAAGAGGTAGAGACACCAAATTTTGCACAAAGATGCCTTATGTGTGTACGCTATACGAGTTTGTTTTATTTTTTTTGAACCCAATCCGATTGATTAGTCACCGTGCTACGAATTAATTCACAAGTTTCTTACATTTGAAATTTCTGTGGAAAAATTTTATGACGTTTATATTTTCATCGGTTCCTTCGGTCTTTGTCATCTTCGGTACAGATTCATCCGGATGACGCTTTGTCTCTACATTACACGGTTTCATCAACAAGATAGCTTAAACTCGTAAACTTTAGCTTTAAGCGGCCAATCAGAACGCCATAAAGAAGAAACGAATAATTTCACTAAATAAAGAGGCACTGCAACATATACAATAAGATCATCGTAAGTAAGATTCAAATTCAGATATAAAAAGCTTGACTGGCTAAAAGCCGACATTGATCGGATACTTAATATTTTACAGTCCACACTTCTACATATCTTATCTCTATTACAGGTCTAACTAAGGGCGCACCATGAAAACTGAAACGAAGCAAGTTAAGAAGCAGAGAGCAAGAAATAGTGTCGGAATATAACAAACAAGTGCTCTAACTGACATCCAACTGCTCGTCCTGCTTCCGTTTTACTTTGTTTTCAACTTTGAATTACACACACATCAACATTTCCGCTTCCGTGCGCCATAAGTTTTCGCTAAAGAAAACAAAATGTCTGTAACGCGCTCCCGCACGCCATTGGCAATGATTTCAGCTCTCAGGAGATGACTGTATAGCGAGTAGCAGTACTTTTTATACCCTGTACCCGTAGGCTAAAAAGGGTATATTAAGTTTGTGCAAAGTATGTAACATGCAGAAGGAAGCATCTCCGACCCCATAAAGTATATATATTCTGAATCAGCATGACGAGAGAAATCGATCTAGACATGTCCGTCCGTCTGTCCGTCCGTCTGTCCGTCCGTCTGTCCGTCTGGATGGACGCAAGGATCTCAGAAACTATAAAAGCTGGAATAACCAAAGTTGGTATCCAAATTGACCTAGGTCCGAGAAAGGACGAGTTTATTTTATTATTTGGAATTTTTCCCCCTTCCCCCGCTACAGAATTTTGTCAATACTGTCCACATTTCAAAAGCTTCATTAACCAATATATTCACACACAACCTACTTTTATATACAATTCTTTGTTTTAAATTTCATCCGAATCGGTCAATTCTATGAAAACTTATTAGCGCAACAATTTCACTCCAGTACTACGCCCACTAACTGCAGAATCAAGTTCGCTCTTCGTCCTCTTTTTATAGCCTGTACCCAAAGGGCGAAAGACTACTTGTATACTAGTTTTGTGCGAATGTATCTAACAGGCAGAAGGAGGCGTGGCAGACCCAACAAAGTATATATATTCTTGATCAGGGTAACAAGTCGAGTCGATATAGCCATTTCCGTCTGTCCGCCCGTCTGGACGAGCGCAAGGATCTAAGGAAGTACAAGAGCTAGAATAACCAAACTTGGTATCGAGGTTCCCCAAAGTCCTAGGTAGGTCAAATGAATTTTTTTTTCTGATACACTGCCCCCCACTCCACCGCAATTCTTGTTTTCTGTTATAACTTCCGTAATTATTTGAATTTTGAAATCAATCTGTTTCATCATGATATGTCAATTCTGAAGAAAGTTATAGCCATAAATAGAATCGCTGCCCATGCTCTGCTTGTAGCGCTGCCCGCAGCTGTTGTGGTTGTTGCTGTACTCTCTTGTTGCTTCTGTTATGGGCGCATATAATTAAGTTACGGAAGTTTGTCAGGATACAGGGTATTTCACTGTCGGGCTTGCTCGACTGTAGCGTTCTCTCTTGTTTTTTGTTGTGTTTTGTCCTTCGACTGCCATAGCGACTGCGGCTGTTGTTGATTGCAATGCGCGTTTCCGTTTTCAAATCGCACTCAAGCGAAAATTATACAACATGCTGAGCTTACTATACAGAGCACGCATACATACATACTTACATATACTTGTACATATATACGAGTATAACACTTTAGGCTAAATCCTTTTATAATGTTTTGCGCGTACTAATTTTTCAAGAAATCAAAACTAATTGTCAGGAAAAATTTGCATACAAGAGTATATTAGGTTTGCGGGAGCTGAAAATGTAACAGGCAGAAGGAGGCGTGGCAGACCCCACAAAGTATATATATTCTTGATCAGCATGACGAGACGAGTTGATCTAGCCCTGTCTGTCTGTCCGTCTGTTCGTATGAACACCTGGATCTCAGAGACTATAAGAAGTAGAGACACCGAACTTTGCACAAAGATGCGTTATGTGTGTACGCTGTGCAAGTTTGTTTTATTTTTTTGATTTTCCTCCTAACTTCCCCCCTATGGGGGTTTTCTCGATTTTACATTCGTAGAATCGCCTATATCTAGGGTCACATAATTTAAGTCCAAGATGCCTTATGTGAATACCCAGAAAATGTGTATTTTGGAATGTCCCTCCCTCCCCCCTCTCCCATGAAAATCGCGATTTTCTCAAGCGCTTTCCAAGCGCTGCCCGCGGCTGTTGTTGATGCTGGTGCTTTGGTTGACTGCGAACATGCTTACACAGACACGAATATACGAGCATATACATACATACTCTCACATAGACGCAATTGCTTTGTATATGGGCAATTATACACCCTTTACGTGAGTTCGAATACCGAGAAAGGTAAAATCGATCAAATTTTTTTTTTTGTAATTCTCTTACTTTTTTTAATTTCTATAATTATTCTAAACATATGTACAGAGTATTTCAAAGTCGGGACCCCCGACATTACCTTTTTTACTTGTTTTATCATCAATTTATCTTACAGATTTATATTTATAATCTTAATCTTTAAAATTCCTCTTGATGCTGGTTATAGGTCCAAGTGTGCGCCCAAGTACTTGTAGCTGTTGAGTTGCTCCAACAACTGTAGGTAGCTAAGTACTGCCAGAAAACTTTAAAGGGGCAGCAATGGATTAATTTTGACTATAAGTCCATTGTTTCAAACTCTGTTACAGGCCTGTCTTGTGGCCAAATACTCTGCCGCCACCAATACCTCACACATCACACACAACAATTCCTAGCATACTTTTAGGCAAAACCCTTCGAAAATGTTTTTCTCAATAAAAGGGGGGCCACGATTATTGGAATAAACAAATATTTTATGAAACCCACGACTTTGGGACTCAAATTCAACATTCAAACAAATCAATAGAAATATATACTCAGTACTAATGTCTATGCGTTTTTGTATATTTGTATGTGTGCAGTGCAGAGTTCAGCCGAAGCAGCAACAACAACAGCTGCTGGCAGATATTACATTTAAGCGTATAACTTTATTAATATTGATAGGTCATATCGATGAAACTGGGCATATGGACACATAAGCAGTAATCGAAAGTAATTGCCATTGGAATTATAATAGAAATTTGCGTAAAAAAATAAAATTATGGAACTCACTAATAGCGGTGGAGTGGGTTTGAAAAACACTTGTACTGCGCTCACATACAACATCTAGTATTTCTCTCTTATAGTCTCTGATAGTTATGTTTTAATACGGACACGTATGTATTTTGTGGGGTCTGCCTTCTGTCAGTTACATTTTTTACTTTGCACAATCCTAATATACCTTTGTAGTTTTCGGGTACAAGGAATAATTAGATACAAAATAAAGTATATATAGAGTTCCAACCATTGTGCTGTACTGTATCTACAACACGAGACTTAGTTGTAGCCATTATACACGACATGACAATGTTACAATATTGTTTTTTGGGTTTCATATCGCACTCAAGAGTACGTTATCCGGTGGCTATGTTCCTTTACTAGAGTCCAATGAAATATATACTTAGTTTTCGTGGCACATTCAATTGATGAATGCGATTCGCAATTAGCGGTATTTTGCTCGATATTTTAACTGCATTGCCGAGCCTGCGTCTGGGTGCTCTGCGAAATGGATCTCCCTACAATTAAAAGGATACGCATTTGTGTGCAGCGTGTCTGTCAGAAATAATGCTATTTTACATTCTCACGTGTCCCATTTTGGCTAAACAGTAAATATAATTAACGCCACTAATGGCTGCCGTTCTTTTTATATGCGTCCCGCAATCAGCCCCGCTTCACTTCCTCCAACCCAGTCGACGACTCCATGTGATATTTAATTAGTGCTGCAGGTATTTGCGCTCATTTATGAAAATGTTCCTCGTATGTTTTCAGAGACTAAATTATTAGAGCACGTGAATGTGTTTCAGTCATGAAAAGCCTTCCGCATTAATTCATGTCTTTATTTTTACAACAGCAATAACAAATAAACAGCTGCAGACAAACAAAACAACTAATTGCGGAGGTCGCTGTCTGTCCCAGCCCTTTTTGTTGGGGTAATCGATTTTTAGCAAACTACCCTTGGATTAGCAGTTTTCTACTTACAGAAATCTCCATCTTCCTCAGCCATATTGAATAAAATAGTGTGCTTTAACTCACACTGACAGTCAAAAACAACTAAAAACGCTAGTCGGGTGTCCCGACTTTGAAATACTCTGTACATATGTTTACAATAATTATAGTTCGAAATTACAAGAATTATGGGAGTTCGACTTGCGGCGGAGAGGGGGGAGGGAGGGAAATTCCAAAAT